AAGAAGTTGGGAATAGAAGAGACATATTTTAAAGTACAAATAACAAAGCTATAGCTAGCATCATATTTAGTGGGGGAAAACTGAAATAATTTCTCCGAAAGTCAGGAACAAGACAAAGGATGCTGTCCACTTTCCCTGCTCTTATTCAATGTTGTGTTAAAATTCCTAGCCAGAGCAATAAGGTGAGAAAAAGAAATAAAAGTGATTCAAATAGTGAAAGAAGAAATCAAATTATTCCTATTTGCAGACAATATGAACCTGTGCTTATCAGACCTTACAGACTCTAACCATGTATACTGAAGCACTATTCACAATAGCCATATGATTGGATCAAGTGAGGTGCCCAACAACACATGAATGGATAAAGATGTGATGTATATATACACTATGAAATATTACACAGCCATGAAGAAAAATGGAATGTTATTTCTAGGAAAATAAATGCAACTGGAGGACACTCATATATTGAGTGAGACAAGACAAGTTCAAAAAATAAGATACAGAAGCTGGGCACTGGTGGCTCATGCCTGTAATCCTAGCTACTCAGTCAGGAGGCTGAGATCTGAGGATTGCGGTTCAAAGCTAGCCCAGGCAGGAAAGGCCGTGAAACTCTTATCTCCAATAAACCACCAGAAAACCGGAAGTGGCACTGTGGCTCAAGTGGTAGAGTGCTAGCCTTGAGCTGAAGAGCTGAGGGACAGTGCCCAGGCCCAGAGTTCAAGCCCCATGACTGACAAAAAAAAAGACACAGTGCACGTTTCCACTCATAAGTAGAATCTAGATTTTTAAAATATACATATTCATGACATGTACATACATAAAGACCCATACACATAATTATTTTTATGGATAAACAGATCATAAATGAAACTAAGGGAGTATTTAGGAGGGGACCTTAAAGGAAAAAGAAAGAGGGTAAAGAGTTTTGTAATATACTGAAAGTACATATGTAACAGCAATAAAGAACCTCAATGATTGGGGCTGGGAAGGTGGCTCAGTGGAAGAGCGCTTGCCTTGCATGCATGAGGCCCTGGGTTTGATTCCTCAGCATCACATAAGCAAAAAGAAAAAAGCCAGAAGTGGCGCTGTGGCTCAAGGAGTAGAGCACTAGCCTTGAGCTGAAGAGCTGAGGGACAGCGCCCAGACCCAGCGTTCAGGCCCCACGACCAGACCCAAAAAAAGAACCTCAATGAGAGCTATTGACCAATAGAGGGATGAGGGTGTACTAGTGGGAGGCTAACAAGGAAGATAAAGGAGGCTCAATACTATTTGCAATTATGAAAATAGAAAAGTGAAGGCTGAGATGAGAGACTATTTTCATTGCATCTGTTTGCATTGTTGGAATGTTTTTCCATGTGTCTGCTTTATTAGATTCATTAACCAAGAAACTGTTGAGCCAGGTGCTGGTGGCTCATACCTATAATCATAGCTACTTAGGAGGCTGAGATTTGAGGATTGCAGTTTGAAGATAGCTCAGGCAGGAAAGTCCCCGTGAGACTTATTTCTAATAAACTACTCAAAAAGCTGAAAGTAGAACTGTGGCTAAAGTGGTAGAGTGCTAGCCTTGAGCACAAAGAGGCTCAGGGACAGTGCCCAGACTTTGAGTTCAAGTCCCAGGACAAGCCAAAAAAAGAAAAAAGAAAAGAAACTGTCCTTAAAAGCAGCTATTGATATGGAAAGGAAATGAGAATAAAGAATATGTACTAATTAAGTCTGTCAAGTCACATGCTTCTCTTAGACCCTGCACTGGATACCATGAGGAAATGCTCAACAATTAGACCTCTATTGCATAGAAACAACTGGCCCTGAATTATTTCCTTTTGGTTTATTCTCTGTTGACACTGTTTTTTATTTCTGTACCCTTTGTTTTGTATATAAGTTTACCTGTTTTGGGGAAGGAGAGGGGAAATCACATAGAAACAGTAAAACAAAGGGTGAACCAATGCAACAATGATACTCATTAGAGCAGCAACTTGGTGGAGAGAGGAGTTCAAAAAGAAATGTACTCATTATCTCACTTTTGTAACTGTAGCCCCTCTGTACATCACCTTTACAATAAAAATTTTTAAAAATTTAGGGGCTGGGAAGGTGGCTCAGTGGTAGAGCGTTTGCCTTGCATGCCTGAGGCCCTGGGTTCGATTCCTCAGCACCACATAGGCAAAAAGAAAAAAGCTGGAAGTGGCGCTGTGGCTCAAGAGGTAGAGCGCTAGCCTTGAGCTGAAGAGCTGAGGGACAGCGCCCAGGCCCAGAGTTCAGGCCCCACAACTGGACCCAAAAAAAATTTTTTTTTAAATTTAAAGGGTGAAGATGGAGAGACCACAGCTTAGGGTGCTCCTCATACCCTCAGAGTATCAAAAGGAAGGAAGGAAGGAAGGAAGGAAGGAAGGAAGGAAGGAAGGAAGGAAGGAAGGAAGGAAGAAGGAAGGAAGGAAGGAAGGAAGGAAGGAAGGAAGGAAGGAAGGAAGGAAGGAAGGAAGGAAGGAAGGAAGGAAGGAAGGAAGGAAGGAAGGAGAGAAAAAAGAAAAAGGAGAAAAAAGAAAAAAAAGAAAGAAAAGCAAAACCTGTTTCAATTGTTTTGGGAAGAGGAAAGAGGGAGAGTGATAGAGAAGTGAGATAGAGTAGAATACATTATAAAGGTGTGTGGAAATGTAACAATAAAATATCTCCTATAAAACTGGCATAAACTACTTATAAAAAGAAATATGATATCCTTGGAAAAAAAGGAGTTTACAAGCCAGTTAGTGAAGATATAGCAAAGGAATGATAACCATTTTTCTGTTTACTACACGAAAAAGCTTTCAAGTTATTGAAAAGATCTTACCAACATTTAAGCTAAGCCTAATTATATGTAAGAACACTGAAACTAAAAGTTTCAGAATCAGGAAATGTATTATCAAATGAACAATGTTTAATAACTTTCTCCCTCTTAATTTCATTCATCAAGTGGTATTTTTAGCTTTTCTCAACCTACACTCCCAACTTGTCATTGTAGGTCTGTGATTCTTCCATTTTTTATGATTTGTCATTTCACTCCACTATAGTCACTTTTCCTCCTTCTGGGGTGCATAATGAAGCTTCTATTGCTTATGAATATGTATTTTATAAATTCAATAGCTAACAAATGCAAATATATATCCTACGATCAATAACCTACTTGTTATTCCTTAATACAGCAAGAAAGTGCCTGCTTTGGGCTCAGTACTTAGAGCTTTCCCCATTTATGAAATTCTCTCTGTAGATATTCATGCATTTCGCTTACTTTTTTAAGGGAGCTCAAAAAATCACAGCACAGAAGTGACTACTCTGTGTAAGATAGCATTTTCTACTCTCCTTAATCTTCCCCAATATATATAACTTCCTACAATATTAAGTATTAATTACCTGCTTTGTCTACATATCATCTGTTTCACCTATGTAGTAAGTTCCACTGGGTTCACACATTATAACTGCTATAAGCACCAGGACAGAGCCTGATAAAATAAGCAATAAATATTTGCTAAATAAGTAACTGCCTAAGATACGTAATATGAGACCTGTGACAACTGTTAGAACAAGACTATTCATGACTTTCTTTCCCCAATTCTTTGTTTATATTATTTATTTTAAAAGTTGCCTAAAGCAAATTACCATGGGATTTTAGATAGCACCTATTATATAATAACTTTATAAATATTTTTGATGGGTACTTAGTAAAAAACTTGTTTCTCAATTCCTAAGTATAATAACTGTTCTTCCATCCTATACAGTTAGTATTTCACTGCACTGATCTGGTAGTTAAGCAAAAATGAAGATTATTTTAGAGCAGTGCGACAGTACTGTAAGAAATATGGAATCTATTGACCAGTAAGTTCTTTTGTTTGACTAAGCAAGTTTCTCTTCAGTAGGGACTTTGGTCACTCAGGTTCTCAATATGACCAAACATTAATTGTGTAGTAATTCTATGTCATATGACTTAAGTTTTACAGATACTAATCAGATTAGAAATCTACTCAGAGAACTGTCATTTGGCTTGTCATAAAGCTACTTAACAGAAGAGCCCATACCAAACACAACCACAGTGACTCTCCATTCATTATTTCTACCACAGCACTGCCTGTTTTAAAAGATGATTTCATATATTATGCAATAAAAGCTTTTTTCTTGTAAATAAAATTTCTTTTTTTTTTTTTTAACCTTAAAAGTATGTCAACCACATACTGTATTATAAGGGAAGAAAAAGTTACTACCTAACTGAAGGATAGGAATGCCATCAGATTTCAACCTCACTTACAATTTCTATGTGAAAATGAATAACTCAAAGAAGACAACAGTATTTGCTTATTAGAACCAAAGTAAAAATCCACAGAATCATTTTTAACTGGTTAATAGCCCAGAGAAAACAAAGGTAACTATAACATATAGAAATGAGTTGCAAAAAGCATGCACAGAAAAGACATGATTTCATTTAGAAAAGCATGCTTCAATTAAATTTGCAGGCAATCTAAGGAAAATGCAAAACTGACATATAAAACTTACCTACTTTAAATTTAAAATACATTTATAGAAAGTCTCTGGTCAGAACAAGCCAACAACAGGAAGTAGCCAGAAATTACAATTAATATAAAAGAAAAATTTAAGAGGAAATGTTTTGCTAGACTCCTATTTTCAGTCTTAGCATCAAGAAATGAGTGATTATTTGCAATGAAGTTGGCAAGACAAGAAATTGCATTAAATTTTATCAATCTTTTAAGTGGCTTTTCTCTTTTTTTCCTAAAAAATGGGAAAAATGTATTTTATACTTCTTTGTATTATTCTTTTTATTGTTATATTACAATTTATTTTTACTGTCTCACAAAAATAAGATGGAGGTATTTTTAAGTAGTTGGACTTACTAGTTCAAATTACCCTGATAACTTCCTTTGGTAAGAGGAAAATCATATAGTACCAATAATGAAAAGCCAAATAAGAGATCCAAGAAGAAATTAACTCAGAAGGCGACCAACTGCGTAGCTTATTCTTACCTTGGCTGTTTTTTTCACGGGTTGACATTTTTGCTGGTTGAGACAAAAATGAAATATCTTACCAAAAAAACCAAACAAACCAACTGAGCATTTTCTTAAATGACTACAGTAATGCATGTCTCTTTCATTACTATGAGCTAATAATAAATGGAAGTTGATATTTTTATCAACTACCAAAAACTTAAACTGAGCAAAGTAATTTTAAAAAAGATTTAATTTACCTTGATTGATGATGATATCTTTATGCCTAAAAAAGGGAATTCAAAGAACACATTTATAATTTCATATGGCTAAGCATTAAAAAATCACTTGGTGGTTTTACAAAAATCTGAGGCCTAAGGCATATTCAAGTAAAATTCAGCCAACCATGTTTTTCAGTTTCTCATTGGTTTCAACTACTATATACTGTCTTATGAAACAATGAGCCAGGCACTAGTGACTCAAGTCTATAATCCTAGCTACTCAGGAGGCTGAGATCTAAAGACCATGATTCAAAGCCAGCCCAGGTAAGGAAGTCCATTAAGACTGCTGTCTCCAATTAATCAGCAAAAAAATAGAAGTAGAGTTGTAGCTCAAGTAGTAGAGTGCTAGCCTTGAGCAAAAAAGCTCAGGGACAGTGGCCAGGCCCTTAGTTCAAGCCCCAGACCTACATCAATTAAGTGGCTCATGCCTGTAATCCTAGCTACTTAGGAGGCTGAGATCTAAGGATCACGGTTCAAAGCCAGCCCAGGGAGGAAAGCCCGTTTGACTCTTATGTCTAATACACCACTCAGAAAACCAGAAATGGCAGTGTGGCTGAAGGGGTAGAGTGCTCACCTTGAACTGAAGAGCTGAAGGACAGCACCCAGGCCCAGAGTTCAAGCCCCATGACTGACCAACTCAAACAAACAACAACAACAAAAAAAACGAACAAAAATCCACACACACGATATTGAGAAGAAAAAAAGAGGGTATATAATAGAACATGAATTTAAAAAAACTTCAAACCGGGCACATAATTACATATATAAACATGATAGTTACAGATTAATATGTAACTGAGAAAGTATACTTACTTGTCTGCATTTTTTATAACTTTTGATATTAATTTTGATGTTGTAGCTGCTCTCAATAATTTATTACGAGTATCATCTGAATTTTCCCATGAATTATGTGACTTTTCAGTTGTCAGTGGTCGTTTTATGCTAAAAGAAACACATTAATCTCTTAAGAGAAAAATCCTGAGTAGCAATACATATAATTGATAGTTCAAGCAGAACATAAAAACAGTGATTAACACTTCCTTAAAGCTAATCCAGGAAAGAGAAAGGAGGATTAGTTGAGAGAATATGCCTGGATGAGTGAAGGAGTTAACAAGGCAATTACCAGTCTGGTTTTTTTGTTTGTTTTTTGGTCAGTCGTGGGGCTTGAACTTGGGCTTGGGAGCTGTCCCTGCGCTCTTCAGCTCAAGGCGAGCGCTCTACTGCTTGAGCCACAGCACCACTTCCGGTTTTCTAGTGGTTTTATTGGAGATAAGAGTCTCACAGACTTTCCTGCTTGGGCTGGCTTTGAATTGTGATCCTCAGATCTCAGCCTCCTGAGGAGTTAGGATTACAGGCGTGACGGCGCCTGGCTTACCAGTCTATTTTATAATTTCTGTATTATTCAGAAGACTCACCAAAACAAATATTATCTGATTTTTTTAATCTACTTTTTTCCTGTTAGTAGAAAAAATTGCTTAAATGTCTAAGTTTGTAGTTTAAAAATCTGTACTTTTAAATTAGTCATTGATTACAACGTTGCATCTTACATTTTTAGTGTAATTGTCTCATCTGAATAATTTATATATAGTACAAACAATTTCTAAATAAATTGTGAGACTTAAAAGTGAAACTCTTCTTCATAGCTTTAGAGATAATTTTCCCCAGGATCAAAAATAAAGATTCAATACACACAAAACATGTGAGATCATCAATGCCAATTCCCTATAAGGTTTATTGAAATTTTCTGTTTTATTAGTAACTTTTTGGCAGCATTGCTAACTATCCTAAAACTCATCCAGTCTTCAATACTTCTTGCAATATAGTACATCCAAAAAGCAATTTTATAGAAGGGAAGCACACTTCCAGGAGACCTCAAGAAGCTGAAAAAAAAAACAAACAATGGGACAAAGATACCAAGTCAAAGCAGAACCTTAAACTGATTAGAAAAGCCACCTTTAACCACACACAATTTGAAATTGTGTAACATTAATAAAGAATATCCAAAAACAACTCCACAGGAATCAGACAGAAGAATTACAAACCATTTAGAAAGCACCAGAGTCTGCATGAGAAACAGAGACAAAGCATTTTGTAAATGGTAAACATGCATAATCAAGTAGAAGGTATTCTGGTTTTCCAAACTTCTACTGTAGACTTTGAGGCAAAATATTAAACTGGACAAATAAAATGTTATGGTTGTCATATGAACATTGTTAAAAATCCTAAGCAGTCCTGGGAATAGTTTGTCTCCTAAGATCTCCAAGCAGGTGTATGATGATAAAATACATACCCTATTATAAGTCTTGAATAAGCATTTCTAAAAATAGGAAATTCAATTATTTGATTTTGATACCTGATTACTAATAAAAGTGAACACCCAGCATGCAGTTTTAGACACCCAATTTAGTTTTACACATATTGTTAAGAATGATTTTCCTTTCTCCTCTCTCAAAATTTTAAAATATTATTATGGATGCAGCGAAAAGCCCTCAAGCAAGTCTTTAGCATAGAAAAGACCAAGTGAACCAAATTCATTTCTCTACTCAAGCAAGAACTTATCCTCCCAAGACCCCAAACTGAAACTGAGATGCAGCCACAATGAAGAACCATTTGTTAAGAAGGGTCCTTGCAAGCTGAAGGTTGTAATGATGCCAAAATGGGGTGAGGACAATTATATATCGCCATTTTCTATCCATGGGTATAATTTAGACACAGCTCTGAAAAAATTAAAAATTATTATAGTTTTAAATAATAGCATTTGAGTTTTTCGACTATTTCTCTTTTATCAAATTTTATAACAGAGTTTCTTTTCTAGTTTTACTGAAAAATTTTGACCTTAAATCTTTATTCCCCAATGTGCTAAAAATACATATCATGGCAATGGAGAAAAAAAGCACTATGCTTTTCTCTTAGAATCCATGGATAGCCCCTTATTTCCCCATCACAGAATTTAGGTATCTTTACAACCATTCCCTAGCTCTGTACTTGGGGACAGTTAAAACCTTTTGGTGGGAGTAGAATTCTTGCTTTCTGGAGTTTGTCTGTGTATTTGGAGAGGCTGTGAAGAGGGCTGGGGAGAAGGTGATGCTCGAATTTGTGGACTTTGATCATTAGAATGAGATTCCTCTTTTTTTTCTCTCTGTCCTTGAGGTTTTTCTTTCTTTTTTTCTGTACCACTGTAAAATAAAGTATAACATGGAACAATACACATTTAAACAAATTTTGAAAATCAAAATAATAGGACTATTATGTAATTCAAACCCTAAGCGCCATATAGGTAACATAATTCACACTGCTTTATTTAATATAAAAAATAACTTTGAAAACTCTGAAAGCTATTAAGATCTTCAGTGAAAAATTTATAAAAATACTAAAGTGGGCTGGGGGTGTGGTTCAAGTTCTAGAGCAACTGCTGGGCAAACAAGAAGCTCCGTGTTTCAATACCCCAGTACTACCCCTCTGAATGCCTTCTCCCTTCCCCCAAAAAGCGAAGGTAATACATCCTATGAAAATTGCTCTTTTGCACTAGCCTTGAGCTGAAGAGCTGAGGGACAGCGCCCAGGCCCAGAGTTCAGGCCCCACGACCGGACCCAAAAAAAAAAAAAGAAAATTGCTCTTTTGGACAGAAATTACCTTTAACGAATTGTGGATGGGAGGAAGTTGTTTAACAGCAAGAAAACTCTGACTCCAACTTACCCAATTTAAAGGGTTAGAGACACAATACCCATAAAAACAAACTGATGTTAGACACACTAAATGCTTATGTTTAACAGTTTATTTTGTAATTCCTCTGTATACATCTGCTCATGTTGAGGCGTTTTCCCCGCTTTGTTGCAGTGTTAGAGATCTATACCCAGGGCCTTACATATGCTAGGCAAGCATTCCATTACTGTGCTATATTCCTAACTCCCAACAATGGAGTTTTTATTCCTTTGATTTTTTTTCAAAGAGGATTTTGCTTGTATTTAAGTCTGCTTGGAACTTTCTGTGCAGAGTAGGCTGGCCTCAAACTTGTGATCCTCTTGCCCCAGCCTCCTGAGTGCTGGGGAAACAGGTATGCACTACAATACTCAGCTTAACAGAGATTATTATTTTTTTTTTTGCTGCTTTTTTTTGGGGGTGGGGGTGGGGGTGGGGAAGGGTCTGGTCATGGGGCCTGAAATCTGGGTCTGGGCACTGTCCCTCAGCTCTTCAGCTCTACCACTAATGCTCTACCACTTGAGCCACAGCGCCACTTCCGGCTTTTTTCTTTTTTTGCTTATGTGGTGCTGAGGAATTGAACCCAGGCCTCATGCATGCGAGGCAAGCACTCTACCACTGAGCCACCTTCCCAGCCCCTAGGTTTTTTTTTTTTAAAGTGGTACTAGGGCTTGAATCCAAAGGTTTGAGCTTGCTAGGCAGCTGTTTTTGAGCCACACCTCCAGCCCTAGAGTTTAAATCTTAACAAGAATTTATGTCTTCCCCAAAAGGAAGGAAACAACAAAGGAAACTGATGAAATATACATAGGAAAAAAACCCTGCAAGTTCTACAAAATGAATCTACAAAAACTAAATTAACTAAATTGTTAAATTGGGACGAGACAATGTTTTCAAATCACAGGAAAACTTTGCTTTACCCAAGTTTTAAATTTCTCACTGTTTTCTTTCATAATAACACTGACAATACTACATTTAAATACAGATTCAAAGGTGAAATAAAATAGTTAAAATATTTATGTGTAATTTAATGATTCTATACTTGGACACTTTTTGTTTTTCTATTTGTCCTGGAGCTTCAACTCTGGGCCTGGGTGCTGTCCCTGAGCTTTTTTCTCAAGGCTAGCACTCTACCACTTGAGCCACAGTGCCACTTTTGGCTTTTTCTGTGATTAATTGGAGATAAGAGTCTCACAGACTTTCCTGCCAGGGCTGAATTCCAAGCTGTGATCCTCAGATCTCAGCCTCCTGGGTACCTAGGATTACAGGTGTGAGCCACCAGTGTCTGGCTGTACTTTGACTTTCAATCAATATACCACATTCCACTCCTAATCATACTTACTAAGTCAACAAGATCACAATGATTACAAAGCAGAAGATAAAAAGATTAACATTCCAATGTTGAAAAGGCAAAAAACTATCAACACTCTATAGTTCTTAATCAATGGACGTTTTGTAATTTTACTGTAAGGTGCATTTGTCTATATGGAAGTACATTCCAACAACATTTTTAACAAATATATTAGAGCACATGCAATTTAACTATTACAACAATTATTGAAATGTAACACCATTTTGACAGTAACATTTTTTATGTTTACATTAGTTGTAGACATGGGGATTTTATTGTTACATTTCTACACATTCACACTTTATCTGATTCAATTCTGATATCTTCTGATTTCACACTAGCCACTGACTGACTTCATGTTCAGTTTTTTTCAATCCTAAAAAATAAAAATTTACCTCAAAAATATCAAATTAACCTTGAATTTAAAACCTGAGTTAGAACTGAGTTCTTTCCTATTGGTTTTCAAACTATCCTGAATGCTGTTTTAGGTGAGAGCAGTACAACCAAAGTAAGATTTTCTTTCTGGGCTTTTTAAAAGCAAAATACAGCATCCTTGTATCATAAAGAAACAAATTCATCTGGTCTTAAATAACTGAATCATTATTATGCATAATATTGATCGCTTTATGAAAAATAACACAACAGCTAATCAAGAAAACTGAATGAATCCAAAGTGCTATTAGAAATATAAATTTAACAAAAACTGTATTAAAAACTTTTACTATGAATTATATCAGAAAATTTCTCCTAAAAGTGGAACATAGGTAATAAATTTTAACACTGTCTGAAAAGGAAACTGTAGATTCTTTGATATTGACTTTAAAGATTAAATTCTAGAACATTATTTTTTTTAATTGTTATTTTTTTCATTATTCCATAAAGCCACCTGTTTGGGTGAGCATATATACTTCCACACTAAAAATTTCAAGCACTGGCATTAATTCATTGAGGTAAGTGCTTTCCATCAGTATACTGTGACCTTAGAATTTTTCTCATGTACTCTGAAGAAAACAGTTTTAAAATAATGTAATTTATCTGCTATAGTTTCTCCAACTCTGAATGGAATAATCTACTAGGAATCTGAAAAAAGAGAAAAATTCTATAAGCAATTTTATAGAATTTTATCTATAGCCCAACAAATCTCTAGCCCAACAAAACTTACCTCCTCCTTTTTCTTGTTCTCCTTTTCCCTACTGGAGAATCACCTTAAAGCCTAGCACTTGCCACTTGAGTGATATTCTCAGGCCTTTGGCTTTTAGTTTTTCAGATAGGGCCATGCTAACTTTGTCCAAGCTGGCCTCAGACAATATCCTACCAGCATAGCCAGGATTACATGCCTGGCATTGGTGAAACTTTTGTTTTACACCAATTCTACCATCCTTCTGCTCACTACCTACTAATAAGGAGACATTCATTAAAAAAAAAAATACTAGAATATTTATAAAGAATAGTGTGTAACTTCCCACGAATGCAGATATATATCAAAGATCCTGTTTTCCCTTTTAAAATGTTGTATCAAATACATCACTTGCTAAGAAAAATTCAGAAAATAATTTCACTAAATATAGTGATTTTATCAATAAATTCTTGCTAAAAAGAAATCAAGATTGAAACTGTTCTCTTGTTTTGGGGGGTAAGGGGGGTGGGACTAGAAGAGAGCTGAAATAGGGTCTGGTTATATAGCCCAGGCTGGCCTTAAACTCATGGTCTTCCTTTCTCAGCTTCCTGCGTTCTCTCTTTAGTAAGAAACAAAAGCTTCCTTACTAACACTCAACAGGTATGATGAATATAAAATGAATGAGCATTGGCTAGATGTTTCTTTCACAAAGAATTCAAAGGATAAGCTCACTAGAATCCCATAAAGCTCTATTTAATGTTCTTTTCCAAAGTAGACTGATTCATCAGGTGCCAGTGGCTCGTGCCTGTAATCCTAGCTACTGAGGAGGCTGAGATTTAAAGACTGTAGCTTGAAGCCAGCCCAGGCAGAAATGTCTATGTGACTCTGATCTCCAACTAGCCATTACCAAAAAAAAGTGGAAGTGGAGCTCTGACTCAAGTGGTAGAGTGCAAGCCTTGAGAAAAAGGGGGGAAAAAAAAGCTCAGGAACAGTGCCTAGGCACTGATCTCAAGCCTCAGGACTGAGACTGAGTCAGACAGACAGACAGACACAGACACACACACAGACACACACAGACACACACACACACACACACACACACACACACACACACACACACACACACACACACACACACACACACACACACACACACACACACACACACACACACACACACACCCCCTAGACTAATTTCTTACACTCATATAATTTTGCAATGTCAGTTTTCCCCGCTTTTACCGAACAGGTACCTTTTAGCAGCAGATGAAAGAGTTTCTTTTCTTGCAATTGAAACAGAGCTTGTATGACTTGGTTTTCTGCTTACACTACTTCCATTTGTTATACAGGACATGGAAATAGCTTCTCGAAGACTTGGCTGACCTAAAGCAGTTAAGAAAAAAAATTGCATCAAATTTCAAAGTATTTCTGAAAGACTGAAATTTTACTCATAACCTGACTTATGGAAACATAACCCCTTTGTACAACTAGTTAATAACAACAATAATAACTTTAAAAAGGTAGGAATTTGAACAATTAAGTTCCTAAATGTTTAGAACGAGTGACCAAAGCATCCTCTTGCTTTGTAAACAAATATTACTTGGTCAACAATTAATCCCCATCCAGGCCCTGAGTTCAAACCCCAGGACTTCCCCTACACATCCCTCACAAATCAGACCTAAAAACAAAATCCTTCAAAATAGTAGCTATAAAATACATTTTGAAGTTTGTACCTTAAGTAAGCCAAAATTCCTCTTAAGAAATAGATCAGGTTTTGCTGAAAACATGTATTTTAAATTCTAAAAATTAAATGGTACTCCAAATAAATAAAGCATTTAGTACATAAAGTAAATTCTTAATGTAAGCAGTAGGAGGAATAGAATAAATATATGGTAAGTAGGCTGCTATGGACAAGAAGAGTTAAAAGTCACAAGACAAAAAGTAACATCCTGAGTCCAGTTGAATTTCAAGACTCAATTTTTCACATGAATTCAAGCAAAATTTAACTTTATATGATTTAACCAAACTCATCTTTGCTTTGGCACATCCAGTGTTCCACATTACCAGTGTAACATTGCTTTAAGCCATTGGGGTCCACTTCTGTCATAATCACCAAAGGTACATTCTAAACACAGTCTTAGATTTAACTTCAGAGTGAATGATTCAAAAGAGTTATGGGGAAAGATCTACTGTATTTATATTTGACCTATCTCAGGAAGATGTTTATATATGATATAATAATATCCAAATTATGCTAATACCCGGTCAATGTATATTGTTCTAGTGTGCCAAACAGGTAACTAGTTGTATCAATAGCTTTTAAAAAATTATTATAGCAAAATACTTATGAAAGTACTTTAAAAGTTGGATGTCACTGATTCACAATCATTATCATAGCTACTTATGAAGTGACATCCAGAGGACTATGTATAGTTTGAGACTAGCCCAAGCAGAAAAACCTGCTAGACTCTATCTTCAAAATAATCAACACAGAAAGCAAGGTCTGGAGGCATGGTTAAAATGGCAGAGTGCCAGCACAACAAACAACGGGGTGGGGAGTGGGGGGTGGGAAGAAAAGAAAAAAAAAAAGCTTGTTACCAATGACTCCTGTCTATAATCGTAGCTACTCAAGTGACTGAGATCTGAGGAATGAGGTTTGAAGCTAGCCAGGCAGACTGGTAGTGTGGCTAGCATGGTAAAGCACCAGCTATGAATAAAAATGCTGATTGAGAATAAGGCCCTGTGCTCTGTTGAAAAGTTCAAGATCTCTATATCTCAACAAATAAGAAGCTGAGTGAGGTGACATGTGCCTATCATTCAAACCACACAGTAAGTCTAAACAGGATTTCAGTACAGGCCTGCTAAGGCAACAAGTGAAACCTTACTTTAAAATTACAATAAAAAGCCAGGGGCTGGTGACTCACGCTTGTATTGTAGCTACTCAGAAGGCTGAAATCTAACAATCCATTCAAAGCCAGCCTAGGCAAGAAAGTCTGTGAGTCTTATCTCCAATTAACTACATATAATGCTGGAAGTGGAGCTGTGGCTCAAGTGGTAGACTTGAGCAAAAAAAGCTCAGGGACAGTACCCAAACCTTGAATCCAAGGCCCTAGGACTAATACTTGTGGGTACTCCCCCCACCCCAAACAAAACAAAACAAAACAAAAAGCAATAAAAGCACTAGGCTCCAGTGGCTCATGCCACTATAATCCCAGCTACGTAGGAGGCTGAGATCTGAGATTTATGGTTCAAAACTAGCCCAGAGAGAAAAGCCATGAGACTCATCTCCACTTAACCACCAAAAAGCTGGAAGTAGAGCTGTGCCTCAAGTGGTAGAAGCCTAGCCTTGAGCAGAAAAGCTCAGGGACAGCACCCAGGCAAGCCCTAGTTTAAGAAAAAATCCAGAAAGGGTAAGAATGGTCTAAGGAAGAACTCAGCATCTTTTATTTCAGATTCCCTCGTGCTTAACTGTATACCTTTCACTTTCCTCATTTTTCAAGTTCCTTACCATCTTTCTCTTTTTCTTTTCTCTTTTTTGTTGGTCAGTTTAGGGCTTGAACTCAGGGCCTGGACACTGTCCCTGAGCCTCTTTGTGCTCAAGGCTTCTACTTCCAGTTTTTGAGTGGTTAATTGTAGGTAAGAGTCTCACAGAGACTTTTCTGCCCAGGCTGGCTTCAAACACAGATCCTCAGATCTCAGCCTCCTGAGTAGTTAGGATTATAGGCACGAGCCACAGTGCCTGGCCTTACCATCTTTCTTAATCTATTTTTGACTTCATTCTTTGAAAAGTTGTACATAAAATCATTAGAATTCAAAAGATGCTAGAATGTTTGTAAATGTTTCATTACTAATACTAGATTGCTAATTTATAGGTATTTTGATAGACTGTGTGTGTGTGTGTGTGTGTGTGTGTATGTGGTATAATATATATATATATATATATATATATATATATACACACATATATATATACTTGCAAAGATGACACAGTTTTACAAGTAGGAAGCGAGTTAACTATAATTGAGTGTAATAAGGGAAAAGCATAATGAATAGTTGTCACTTTTCATTTCCAGTCATGGTGCTGAAACTCTGGGCCTAGGTACTTACCCTGAGCTTTTGTGCTCAAGGCTAATGTTCTGCTACTTGAACCACAACTCCTATTCTGCTTTTTAGTAATTAATTGGAGATAAGAGTCTCATGGACTTTTCCTGCCCAGGCTGATTTAGATAGAACTTGATTCTTAGATCTCAGCCTCCTGAGTAACAAGGATTACAGGTGTGAGCTACTGGTGCCCAGCTGTTACTGTATTTTTGTTTTTGGGTTTTTTTTTTGGGTCCGGTCGTGGGGCCTGAACTCTGGGCCTGGGCGCTGTCCCTCAGCTCTTCAGCTCAAGGCTAGAGCTCTACAACTTGAGCCACAGCGCCACTTCCGGTTTTCAAGAGTCTCACAGACTTTCTTGCCTGGGCTAGCTCTGAACCTCTATCTTTTTGTTCCAAAGCACAGGTAAACCTTTTGGCAAGGAATCAATCACAACTGGTATACATATTATGTCAAAAGGAAAGAATTCTCTAGGTAGAGAAGGTATATGCCTTCCTTAAAAGCTAAGGGCAGCCAGGTGCAGATGGCTCATGTCTATAATCCTATCTACTCGGGAAAATGAGATCTGAAAACCGCAGCTCAAAGCCAGCCCAGGCAAGAAAGTCTTATCTACAATAAACTACTCAGAAGTAACTGAAAGTAGTGCTGTGGCTCAAGTGGTAGGTCACTGTCCTTGAGCAAAAGAAGCTCTCAAGGACAGCTCCCAGGCCCTGAGTTCAAGCCCCAAGATCAGTAACCCCACCCCACCCCTCAAAAAAGACTATGAAGAAAAACTTTCTACTTCAGTAAGCTACCTGACACCATACAAGAAAAATATGAGGCTTAGCTTTAAATACTTCTGGCACATAGGAATAGATTAATTAAGAGAGAGCTAGATAACTAAAAAGGCTAGTATAAGATATGTTTCTGATTTTGGCTTTTACTCAATGGCAATGCTACTTTCAAGTGGCAGCATGATTCCCAGAAACCATTAAGCACACACATTAGTAACATTTCCTTTGAGTCATATCTGAAGCCAACCCAATGTTCCTCTTTATCACCACTACTATCCAAATTATGTTAATAGTGATCTTCAGCAATGGCAAAGTTGATTTATCCTAACAACAGCGTCACAAAATAGGTTTGACCCTATTTGTCTATAGAGTTGTCTTGAAACTACAAATACTTTGAGACAATGTAGAGATCACTGATTCTTGTCAGTGATTTACAGCAACAGAGACTGGTTCCCGAAGCTGCTCTCATCTAAATCATGTCAGCTATCAAAATGTTTTGCTAGAGTAAAAAAGCTGACCAACAAAGACATATAAACACAACTGAAAATTATTCAGCTACTTTTAAAAAAAATAAAAAGGAAACACTTTCAATACAACATGTATGGAAATGGAGGATACATTAAGTAGAGTTAGCCAGGCACAGAAAGACAAATACCACATGTTCTCACATATATATTTAGAAGCTGAAAAGCTGAATCTCTAAGAAAGCAGAGAACAGAATAATGGTTACCAGAGCCTAGAACACATGTAGTGGTGAGAGGGACGGAAAAAACAAGGTCTATATGACAAGACTGACTCCAAACAGAAAGTCAAAAAAAGCTGAGGGCCAGTGGCTCATACCTATTACCCTATTCAAGAGGCTGAGATCCAGAAGACCATAGTTAGAGGTCAGCCTAGCAGAAAATCTCCGACTTTCATGTCAAAAAGCAGAGCTAGAGACATGGCTCAAGTGGTAGAATATCAGTAGATTAAGCAAGCTAAGCAGTCTGAAGCCATGAGTTCAAGTCCCAATACTCTTAAAAGGGTATCACTGTCTCTTCAGAAATAGATGAAACTTTTGGCCCTGCAATTGGGAATATACATGGACTTCCACTGAGTTACACCTCTTTCCACATGATCTCATATGTATGACCTTTCAGAGTTTTCCTTCTGTTTATGATGAGTAGCTTTTTACATGCTCTAAGATGCTCTGAAACTTTCAGAAATTTGCCTTATTAATCTCCCCATCCCAACAAAAAAAAAAACCCGTATCATTTTCTTCTCTGCTGCTTCTCTGTCCTTAACTTATCTTTAATAAAAATTACAGGGGTTAGGGATATAGTTCAGTGGTAGAGCACTTGCTCATTTGTATGAGGTCCTGAGTTCAATCCCTAGCAGTAAAATAAACTATCTTTGATTTCAGCAATGTTACAAAATAAATAAACCATCTTTGATTTCAGCAATGTTACAATTAATACCACCATACATTGTTGAGCAGTATATTTTAAAAGAGTGGCTATATTTGCTGCTCTCACTTTCACAATTTTCCTCATCTGAAACTTTCCAAGATACTAGAATTTTATTTTCAATCCTATTACTCCACTGAAATTTCTTTTATACAGTTTTCTAATATTTTTGTAGTGCCAAGCTCAATGGTCACTACTCAATCTTTGCTTTATCTGACTTCTCTGTAATAGCTGATAATATAAATTACTTAGCTATGCCGAAACACTGGGAGTTCCCAAATGGAACTATCCTTAGCCTTATTTTACATCCTTTTTCTATTCAAGTCTCATTCATAAGCTTAACATTCCTAAATTCTTTTTGCTAGCCAAAACTAGCACAAGCACTAGATCTATACTCCAGCTATCTACATGTATCTGTTCATATATCATATCATATGTACCTCAAACTCAAAGATTAAAAAAATGAATTTGCACCAGTGTGTCACACATGTAATCCTAGCTAATTAAGAGGCTCAGATCTGAGGATCATGGTTCAAAGCCAGGCAAGGCAGAAAAGTCCCCATGATACTCTTATCTCCAATTAACCATTCAAAAACTGAAAGTGGATTTGTGGCTCAAAGTGCTACCCTTGAATACAAGAGCTCAGGGACAGTACATACAATGGACCAAAAAAAAAAAAAAAGAATCATGGACTTGGGAGTGGTTCCAGTGGTAAAATGGTTGGCTAGCCAGAAGTGAGACCATGAGTTCAATCCCTAATGCTGAAAGAAAAAAACAAAACAGAAAACCACCACACAAACAAACTCTTTTAAATTTGTTTTCCATATTCTAGCTAATTGTTCTTTTATCTATCTACAATCTAAGTGTTAAAAGATTCCTTCTTAACTTCATAATTTACGGTGACTCACTCTAATAGGGAGTTTAACCAATATAATCCTCCTTTTTTCCACTGTCAAAATTAGCGTAAGCATGCCAGTTCCTATCTACTTTACTGATTTCTTTCAGTAAAAGAAATAAGTATATGTTCAAATGCTTGAGTGATTTCAAAGAATTAAAAAATTCTTTCTTGGTAGCTAAAGGCCACATCTGCTCCAAACTAAAACCAACTAGGTCCTAATAACCTTTTTACCATCTTGAAAACTACCAATATCTAAAAGTAAAAATTCCCACTGTCTGAAAACTACATGTATATCATAAATATATGTCTATATATAGTCTTATATTTATCTACATAAATATACCATGACTAAGGTAGAATAAGAACTAGTAAATAATCATTTAGTTTCTGCCTTTGGTGAATTATTTCGTTGGAAAATATCCACTTTATAAAAAGTGTAAGTGTGCAAGTACAATTGGTAGTACTACACCAGTCTCCAATTTAAAAGAATAAATTTTCAAAATTCTTAGGAATAAGCTACAATCGCAAGTTGATCAAAAGAGAAATTATATTCCCAATTTCAATTCTGAAAGAAAACACTGCAAAAAGCAAAACTCTTCCTATTTTACAACTCACCTTTATTTGTGAGTAATTTTTTCACTGAGACCACGTTATCTTCAGTGATTGCAAGACGCCTCAAAACATTAGCCAAAGCTGCCTTTAGCACAGTGATTTCATCTTCTTGCTGCTGAACTCGTAACTCAAGAGCTGAGAGGCGATCTTGGACATCAGAAGTACTTGCAGCAGAAATACTATCATCTGAAAAAAAAAAAAACCAAACCATCAAAAATGTTAAAACTCTTGAAAAGCACTGCCTTCTGGTAATAGAAACTACCAGGTATTTTTTTTTTCTTTTAATATTGTTCTACTCTTCAAGTAGTTGTACAAAGGAGTTGTCATTCAACAAAGCAGTTTATGAATACAATACCGCTTAATCAATGTCACCCCTTTCCTCATTCAGGCAATGCATTCTGATAACTCCATTATTTGTCATCACAAATGTTTACAGTAAAAGTCTTCTTATCTTGGCCAGCTATCTAACTGATTTCTGTCACTTAGGTAACTGCTACTATTAATTTCCCTACCAGGTCTTTTAAGAGACAAACAGTTAAAATTATAACAGTAATTGCATAACTGTTTATAAGACTAATTACTATAATGACTTTCACAGCTTTTTCAAACTAATTTAAAATGATATAAGATTTCTTTTCTTTTTTTCTTTAATGGTACTACTGGTGATTGAACCTAGGGCTTTGTGCATGCTAGGCAAATGTTTCTCTTTGAGTCATGCCCCCCAGGCATAAAATAGTAACTTTTAAGTGTAAGGTCCATTCCTGGACGGCGAACAGACCTCACCCAGTACCTGCGTTACCTAGGCAACTGGGATACCTGGAAGAGGTCACATCCGCATCCGCTGAGGTCACATCTTAACCTGATGTGGCCACACCTTTCTCCCACCTGATCCCACTTCCCTTTACCTGGACACACCCTTCCCCACCCCCTACCCTATATAAGGCCTAAACCGCGGCCAGACCGCCCTCTTTTCCTTTTGCCAGGAGCGTGGAGTGCCAACCTTGCCTGGTCCCAGCAGGTCCACTGAATAAACCTACCCCTTACCTGAATACCACGTGCGTGGTGCAGTTCTTACTCGGCCACCTCTTTTTAAAAACCTAACATTAAGTATGTCAGATAATGAAAATGATGCAAATTTCCCCACAAGCAAATTTTCCCTGTTTTTATATACTTCAATTGTTTTTTTCACCAAACGTTAGACAGCATACGATTCACATTATCCTATTTACAACATTTTGTTTGTATTTTTCTATGAAAACAAAAAAGACCATCTCTTCTATTTTGCTTTATATGTCATAAGAGGAAATCGATACATTCAACCATAGCACTGACCAGATAGATCTGCTTCAGGTGGTATGGCTCAAGTGGGAGCCTACCAGCTTTGAACAAACAGCCAGTCAAGAACGTAAGGTGGCCCGGCACTGGTAGCTCATGCTGTAATCCTATTCTACTTAGGAGGCTGAGTTGAGACTTGCAGTTGAAAGTGAATCTGGGCAATAAAGTCAGTGAGATTCTTATCTCCAATTTACCACCAGAAAACTGGAAGTGGCATTGTAGTTCACTAGCCTTGAGCTAAAGAGCTCAGGGACTGCACCCAGGCCCAGAGTTCAAGTCCCATTGACTGACAAAAAACAAACAAATAAACAAAAAAGCAACAGGGTAAGACCCTGGGTTCAACCCCCAGTACCAGCACACATGCACCCTGCCCCTAAAATCTCTTATCTAGGTAAGGTAACAGTAATGGAAATGCGAAGGAACACAGTAGCAAATTTGCACAGTAGTGGATTTCCAGTTTCTTATTGCTCTAAAATTTATAATTCCTTCTGAAATCTAGAATCTGAACTCTTAAATTTTTCAGGAACATGAATCCCTTTGGAAATTAGCTTTAAAAAAACATGCGACAAGGGCTGGGAAGGTAGCTCAGTGGTAGAGCGCTTGCCTTGCATGCCTGAGGCCCTGGGTTCGACTCCTCAGCACCACATAAGCAAAAAGAAAAAAGCCAGAAGTGGCGCTGTGGCTCAAGTGGTGGAGCACTAGCCTTGAGCTGAAGAGCTGAGGGACAGCGCCCAGGCCCAGAGTTCAGGCCCCACGACCGGACCCAAAAAAAAAAAAAAAACAAAAACAAAAATACAGTAACAGCTGGGCACCAGTAGCTCACACCTGTAATCCTTGTTACTCAGGAGGCTGAGATCTAAGAATCAAGTTCTATCTAAATCAGCCTGGGCAGGAAAAGTCCATGAGACTCTTATCTCCAATTAATTACTAAAAAGCAGAATAGGAGTTGTGGTTCAAGTAGCAGAACATTAGCCTTGAGCACAAAAGCTCAGGGTAAGTACCTAGGCCCAGAGTTTCAGCACCATGACTGGAAATGAAAAGTGACAACTATTCATTATGCTTTTCCCTTATTGCACTCAATTATAGTTAACTCGCTTCCTACTTGTAAAACTGTGTCATCTTTGCAAGTATATATATATATATATATACCACACACACACACACACACGCACAGTCTATCAAAATACCTATAAATTAGCAATCTAGTATTAGTAATGAAACATTTACAAACATTCTAGCATCTTTTAAATTCTAATGATTTTATGTAACTGTTTTTAAAAATGGAACACCAGGGCTGGGAAGGTGGCACAGCGGTAGAGTGTTTGCCTTGCATGCATGAGGCCCTGGGTTCGATTCCTCAGCACCACATACGCAGAAAAAGCCCGAAGTGGCGCTGTGGCTCTAGTAGTAGAGTGCTAGCTTTGAGCTGAAGAGCTGAAGGACAGTACCCAGGCTCCAAGTTTAAGCCCCACAACCAACCAACCAAAAAAAAAAATAAATAAAAACAGAACACCATACATACTTTTTACATGTTCTTAACCTGTAGACATATAATTACAATATTAATTACTGCAAGAATTGTGATAAAATGATGTTCCAGAAACTATTATATCTGAGTATTCAATTTCATACATTATGGAATATTGGATAATCAAGCTTCTGCATTATATTAAGAGAAAATGGCCTCTGAAATGAAGTCTTCCTGTACTAAAAATTATACATATTTGTGTGTATATATATAGTGTATATGTGTGTAACATATATACATTCACACACATATGCAGATGCATACAAACATAATTATATACATATACACATGCATATACATACAGGTATGCATATATGAAATATGTAATGAAGAAAGTAATGTATGTGCATGTGTGTGCATGTGTGTGCATGTGTGTGTATGTGTGTGTGTGTGTGTGTGTGTTGGTCCTAAGATTTGAACTCAGAGCTTAGGTCCTGTCTGTGAGCTTTTTTGTTCAATCTACTACTTGACCTACAGCTCCACTTCTGGCTTTTTCTGTGATTAATTGGAGATAGAGTCTCATGGACTTTCCTACCCTAGCTAGTTTTGAACTGTAATCCTCAAATCTCAGCTAGGATTACAAGTGTGAGCCACTGGCACCCAGCTGGAATTAGTTTTTAAACTAGAAAAATAACGAAACCAACCAACATTCAGTTAATATAAGTTGACATCCACAAGTAATGTAATTTATGTGTAATTAAAAGAAATATTGATTAATTATATTTCTGGGGAGTAAGGGAGGTTCAGTAATGTTTCTCTTCTGCAAAAGTGAACGGAGGAATAGGATGATTAGACTATGTAACTGATTTACCCGAATTTACTGACATGAGTGAAATGATTTTCACAAATTAAATTCCAAAACAGATTATTTTTAAAAAAACCTGGGGGGTTGTGGCACAGAAACAACTGATGGTCTACAAAATAGCTTTAGAGACTAACGTGAACCTAAGTTGTTACCTGTAAATGTATGGAGAAAAAGTTGGCCTTCATCTCAAAAAGACACACGATATTATAAAATACCATCATAAGAAAAAATATGACAAAAAAGGAAATGGTCTCTAGTCTCTCCTTAAGTACTAAGTGGAGACAGTGAGTAGTTGCTCTTACTCTCCCACCACCACCACTGCTTCCCTTTTTGGAGCTCATTTCACGGCTTTAACTCAGGGCTTCATTCTCTTGCTCAGTTTTTTCACTATTGGCTGGCATTTTACCACTTGATCCACACCTCTAGTCTGTTTTTTTTTTCAGTCGGTCATGGGGCTCGAACTCTGGGCTTGGGCGCTGTCCCCCTGCTCTTCAGCTCAAAGCGAGTGCACCCTACCGCTTGAGCCACAGTGCCACTTCCGTTTTTCTAGTGGTTTATTGGAGTTAAGAGTATCACAGACTTTCCTGCCCAGGCTGGCTTTGAATCACAATCCTCAGATCTCAGCCTCCTGAGTAGCTAGGATTACAGGCATGAGCTACGGGTGCCTGGCTCTAGTCTGTTTTTTTTTTTTTTTTGCTGATTAACTCCAGGAATTTTCTGCCAGAGCTGGCATAGCTCAGCCTCCTGAGCAGCTAGGATTACAGGTGTTAGCCAACAGTGTCCATCCAAGACAGGATAGTTATTACTGGATAGAATGACAAAGGCAGATTACATTGGAACATAGAGAAATTTACATGACTGTAGAGCCACAAGAAACCAGTGACAATGTGTTATTTATGATTTTTAAAAATGATACTAGCCTAAAGGACAATCTACAGGCAACTGATCAAATAAATGACTATACTATAGTATGCTACCTAACTATAGTATGCTACTTAAGTCTTTAAAAGAATGGTGTATATTTATAAACATGTAAATTTAATAGAAATGACAGCCAGCTACAGAAAAAATTTGCAAGGTAATTTTCATACTACAATTCTTTCTGTACAGAACTGTTTAATATTTTATTTTTTGCCAGTCCTGGGGCTTGAACTCAGGGACTGGGCACTGACCCTGAGAGCACTCAACCACATGAGCCATAGAGCCACTTGTTTATTTACTGCTACCAGTTTTAGAGATTTAGCTCAAGAGATAAGATATTTTTGCACTACTGGGTCTCAATCCAGGACTTAAGACTTATTTCATATTTTTCTTCTCCTTTTTTCTTTTTGTGTGTCAGTTGTGGGGCTTGAACTCAGGGCCTGGGAACTGTCCCTGAGTTCTTTCGCTCAAGTCTAATGCCACAACACCACTTCCAGTTCTCCGGTGGTTAATTGAAGATAAATCTCATGGACTTTCCTTCCTGGGCTGGCTTCGAACCATGATCCTCAAGAGATCAGCCTCCTGAGTAGCTATGAT